TTTTTTTGGTACAATGAAAAGAGGCCATTGGCCTAATGTAGGACTTGCCGGGGATATGAGATCCCCACACTATCATGCTCGAATCAAGTACTCACTCCTGGAGGAGAAGAGGATAATATATGAAGTCCGAGAGGGTACAAAACCGCTAGATGGGCCATGAAGTCTAATCTTTAGGTTATGGTTATTTATTTATTTCTTATTCTAATATTTATCTAATTGTATAGTATAAGATGATCATTGAAAAATAATTAAACTATTGAAAAAAGAATATAATTATTAGAAAATTAATATTTAAATATATGATTTTGAAAGATTAATAAAGCAATATTAGAAAATAAAATTTGATATTTTATACCAAAATAGTTACCGTTATCACTCCATTTTCTTTTTTTTTTTAACAAAACTAAAAATTAAAGAATAGATCACAAAATGAATTCGAACGCGTTCTGGTATATGAGAAGTAAGGATCTTTGGATATAAATTTATCCAAAATAATCCAATCAATCACTTAACTAATCACTCATTTTAACTCAAATCTAACTCAATTTTAATTCAATACCATAATCTTCAATATTATCAATATATTTAAATAATACCAATTAATCATTGTTACACATTATATCATCCTAATTTACCTAACCATCACTTCACATCATCTCTTTTTACATCAAATCAACTTTAATTATTTTATTTTAAATATTATTATAATATAAATTCAAAATCCTACTAAATAATCATACCACCTTTTCATAATTAACAATACCAAATCAAAAAATCCAATAAAAAAAAAAAAAAAATATATCCAAGCATTAAATAATTGGAGTTTGGGCAACCTATGATATAGGTGCTTTTTTTTATTTGAAGGTTCAAATTTTTACCTCCTTTAGTTTTTCGATTAAGAATCACTTCGTCCATGTTAATGCTATTTTCAGCCGATCTAGATTAATTTGTTAATCACGTCGACGTGGAAAATTGAATTAGAAATGAAGTTACATCGCAGCTCTCTAGGACCCATAAAAGTTCAAGTACATTTTCATACAAAAATTATTTGAAATGTTGTAACAAAAAATGAATTAGATCGATACCTACAAATTATACCAAAACTAAATGATTATTTGATATATACCATAAATTCACATGATTTGAGTAATTAAGTATCTTAAAATATGATATAATTACTTCCTTAAATAATGAGTCGCAATTTCCATAAGTAATTATTTGATATATACCATAAATTGTTAAATTAATTTCCTAAAATAATAAATAATTTTTTTTAAAGTAAAATAGTTACTATTTAAAAAATAATCAAACCTTTTTTATATAGATATAGATATATATATTTGTTGAATTTTTTACCAGAAAATTAAAAAAAAATTAAGTTGTGGAAAAAAAAATACACAAACAAATGCGAATGGACCAAAATAAAAACTCCGTATTAAGTGAATACGTTTTACATTTTTTTAAATGGTAAAACGTATTCACTGAATACGTTTTCTTTTGTAAAAAAATCTGAAAAAACGTATTTAGGAAATACGTTTTCTATACAAATTGTATAGAAAACGTATTCCTTAAATACGTGCTTTCTATTGTTGTCCACTCCCTTTTTTTTCTTTTTTTTTTGTCCACATGTTTTTTTGTCCACTTCCTTAAATACGTGCTTTCTAATACTTTTGCTCTCTTTGGCAGTTCGGCCTAACACACACACAGGCACCAAATTCTTCGTTAAATCCGCCAAAAGACGCCATATATCCATCGCCTGCACTCACTCTCCATTACACCCATCAACACTCGATTCAAATCCATCAGAGTATTCACAACTCTCTCCACGGCAATGGCTTCCACAATCGCGCTCCCTTCGATTTCGCTCGCCAAAGCCGCGTTCGGCGCTTCAGAATCCTTCAGGAGCTCCCGATGCTTGGGTTTCAAGAACGAGATCCGGAGGGTTTCCGGTTTGAATTTGGAGAAATCTAGGGTTTTCATGAGCGTAGCTGTCGGATCGAGTGCGGAAGTTGCTGTTGATGATGCGTTGTTCAAGGATTACAACCCTTCTTCTGCTTTTCTCTTTCCTGGTCAGGTCAGTTTTTAGCTTCAGTATTTTTCTGGTTTTTCGGGCAAAGATTTTTTTTTTTATTCCGTTTTTGTGCTTTTCTGAATTGAACTGTTGAATGTTGCTGGTTGAGTTCCTCGATTTCGAAATCAGAACACAGTGGGTGGGACAATTTCTGCTCGACACTGAGCATTTTTACATATACATGTAAAATAAATAAGTGGGGGCAAGCTAAAATTTAAAAGATAAATTATTAGAGATTGTTGAACAGTTGTTTGGGCCCGTTTGAGACGATGGGCTTTCGAGACTTTGATATAAGGCCTCCCTGATACCCTTTCGACAGAGTGCATCCATGGAAAGGGACGAGTTTGATCAGTGTGCTATATCCGTATTATCTTTTTGCAAGCTTTAGTAATGACCTTTTTTCTATTAGCAGACGATAGTTGAAATGGCATGTTATATTTATGATCGACTCATTGTGATGTATTGGAGTTGCGCTTCCTTTTTGCAGGGTGCACAGGCTGTTGGTATGGGGGTGGAAGCTCAGAAAGTGCCTGCTGCAGCTGAATTATACAAGAGAGCCAATGACATTCTTGGGTATGCTAACCATTCTTCTTCTTTTCTGAAAATCGCTATATGAAATAAAATTACGTCTGCCCGTGCTCACTTAATAAATGTATATTGTTGCCTGTCTTCCGCACCACCCATGGCAGTGAATTTGATGCGAAACTTTATCTCAATGGGTTTTCTTTCTTTAGCCAGCATATCATCAGGGCAATGTCTAAATATGAAAATTAAGTAGTCGGTATTTGTTAATCAATTTAATTATGAGAAATATGAGTAGATATGCCTAGTAATAGTTTCGTGCGGTCAACTTAAATTTCCAGCTTCTGAGTGTACATTTTCAATGTTTGGGTTTCACTCGATTGTGCCTTTCTCCCTTACATTTTAGTTTGTTCCACGGATAGTTTATGTCAAATTTCCTTTCACGTCATCAGGTGACCAATATCTAAGTTCTTTTGTTATATGACATGAAGGTTTGACCTTTTGGATATTTGCGTTAATGGGCCAAAAGAGAAGCTTAATTCCACTGTTCTAAGTCAGGTAATGTATCATTTTATATGTCATGATAGACTTTTTACTGTTTGCTTGTGCAGTCGTATTGTGTCAAAGATATTAAAAAAAAGACAAAGACACATAATGAGAAAAGAAAATAAAATAGAGAAAAGAGGGGTGTTTGAACCCACATGGAGGCAGAGGGAAAGATAACTCATCTATAATCATTGAGAATTAGCTACTCTAATTCAGGAGAACATATAGGGTATGCTAGTTTAATGTATGAGAAATTTTTCCAGGGTGATGGGAGAACATATTTGGAAATATTTGTACGGCTAGAGAATGCATGGGGAAGTATGTATTGGAAATATTTGTACGGCTACAGAGTTGGTGATTAGGGGATGCTAAACCAACTTATGCTTAAATTAAAAATTATGATCCTTGACTTTAATTGATTGTGTCGTCACTCACATTTATTGGAAAGTTGTCATGAAATGGTGGCTTCTAAAATAGCAGAAACAATGGAGTATGTTTCATTGATTCAGAAAATCACTGAAATACATTGTCTCACAGAAGCCATCTCATTCTGGCAGATCATAAGACACGCTTTTCTTACCTCTCGTTTACAAAACTGCCACCCAATCCACACATAGAGACTATCATAAGTGCTTGCCAATACTTCAGATGTAAATTCTTGTAATATTTCAAGTACATTATTTGAATCCATTTTGCCAGCCAGCTATCTATGTGACAAGTTTAGCTGCAGTTGAGGTGCTCCGAGCTCGTGATGGTGGTCAGCAAATAATTGATTCGGTTGACGTAACATGTGGTCTAAGTTTAGGAGAATACACTGCTCTTGCATTCGCTGGGGCTTTCAGGTGAACTGTAACACTGAGTACAATGTATTTGTTTCGAATTGTAATATTGACACTAATATCTATTGGCTTCAAATATGAGTCAATCGAATTGTAATATTGTCTTTGATGGTTTTGTTTTTGAACATGCAGTTTTGAGGATGGGCTGAAGCTAGTCAAGTTAAGGGGTGAAGCAATGCAGGTAACATCTACAATGTACCAACTAGCCGTGTAGAATAGTGGGCCTATGCATATATGACTCCTTCAAACAGCGATATTTTTATGCTATCACCAGGATGCTGCCGATGCTGCCAAAAGTGCCATGGTCAGTATCATAGGGCTCGACTCTGCCAAGGTGCAACAGCTTTGTGATGCTGCCAATGAAGAAGTAGATGAAGCAAATAAAGTTCAAATTGCCAATTTCCTTTGCACTGTAAGTGCATTTTATGTTTGCACTCTTCTTTCTGGTTTTTTCATGATATGAAATCAGAATTAAGTATATGTTAATGTGAATTATGTTAATTGAATTACAAAAATTCCACTTGTCTTTTAAAATTATGAATGCACTCTAGAGACTGTATTTGCCTTACATGTATACCAACTTGAAGGTTCACATTTATAAGACAGCAGATGCTAGATTTTCAATTTTATAAGACAGCCATGTGTTTTTTTTTTGTTTTTTTTTTGTTTTTTTTTTTTTTGTTTTTTTTCAATACTAAAGCTAACCCTCATTCGTGTTTGTCCAAACCTTTTCAACTCACCTAAATCATGTTCTCTTAGGGAAACTATGCTGTATCTGGAGGCCTTAAAGGAATCGAAGCAGTTGAAGCAAAGGCGAAATCATTCAAAGCCCGAATGACAGTAAACCTTTTTCCTTCCCCTTTTCCCCCCTAATCTGGGTGTGCTCGTTTTTCTGCAGCTTCCATGCTTTAACATTATAATGAATTAAAACTTTTTCTTAGGTTCGGTTAGCTGTGGCCGGTGCATTCCACACCGGTTTTATGGAACCAGCCGTTTCGAGACTAGAAGATGCTTTGGCATCAACAGTAATCAAAACCCCCAGAATACCTGTTATCTCAAATGTAGATGCCGAGCCGCATGCAGATCCAAACATCATCAAGAAAATACTTGCTCGTCAGGTAACAATAATAAACAACACATACTTTGTCTAATTTGTCCTCAAGATCACAACTGCAAACTATACCTAATTACTCTATGTTTTAAACACCCACAACACTTCAGGTGACTTCTCCAGTCCAATGGGAGACGACGGTTAAGACTTTGTTGAGCAGAGGAGTGAAAAAGAGCTACGAGTTAGGACCTGGAAAGGTATGAATGAATTTCTTTCTGACGTTTAAGTACATATTGCTCGTTTAATATAATCTGACATTCAGCAAATTTTGTTCCTGTGTTCCAGGTCATAGCTGGCATTGTCAAAAGAATGGATAAAGGTGCTGTCGTTGAGAATATCGGCGCGTGAACACATCGTGAAGGTTCTTAGTACTAGCCGGTTTGATTCTTTCGTGAGATTTTTCTTCGGATGCGAACTGTACTTCAGTTTGAGAATAGGAGCTTCATAGTTTATCATTTTATTTTATTTTATTTTTTTGGTTATTTGCTTGTATTTGTAGCTTTCTGTTTTTTAGCATGAGGTTTAATTGCAGTACCAAAGACCAGAAAGGAAATAATGCCAAGCAATTGTTTCTGAATTTGTAATACATTGTTGAATTTTGCTCCCCAAACACAAAACTCAATCAGTGTGTTGGTTTTGATTGGATAGACAAACTATAAAATTAATTTATAAGTGCAAAAAGAGGAACATGGTAAGCTAAATAAAAATAAAATAACACTAGAAGTAGCACAAGCATTTTGTCGAACAGTTGGCAGATAGAACACCGAATTTTATTTTTTTTTTTATTTTTAAAGCTCAATGATTAATTTCAAGAAGAAGGTGCAGGTGCGGCTGTGGATGGCCTCATCAATCCCCGGAACTGTTCGACCCATTGGTTCTCCGGCAGCCAAACAACAGACGCCGTTATCATGGGGCAAAAGTTGTTCATGCGTTCATTTTTCTCGGCCGTTGCAGCCCTCAAGCCGGAACACCCAAATTTGATAAATGATAAAAGCAATTTTATAATAATTGATAATCAATAAATAAGTTTTCAATTAAAAAAATTATAGTATATTTTTTTTTTTTTTTTTTCAGAATGATGCAAGGGGGACAAAAATCAATGCACCAGCCGGGAATCGAACCCGGGTCTGTACCGTGGCAGGGTACTATTCTACCACTAGACCACTGGTGCTATTGGTGACCAAAAAAGGCTTAAAAAAAAAAAAAAAAAAAAAAAGAAATTGATCATGTTCTCAAACTAGTACGTTGCCCGTACAATACACAAAAAACTATTACGTTTATTATAATTAAATATAAAATAAAGTGGATTAAGATATACTGTACATTATTAAAAGTCATAATACAATATCATTTTGTTCATTTTTATGTAGGAATCAGTGAACATATTTTCACACTAAACTTTGATTATTTGGACTACATTGTATTTACCGAACAAAATATACATATAGAGTAGTCCTAAATATAAAAATACCTAACATTTATCTAGCAAAACCAATTTTTCTACATATATTCTCATAATTTACTGATGGAGATAAGGATGTTTAGAATCTTTAATTGTTATTATTATTATTATTATTATTATTATTATTATTATTATTATTATTATTATTATTATTATTATTATTATTATTATTAGTGGTATTATAGATTTGTTAGGAAACTTATTATTTATCACTTTGTTAGGATTCTTGTCTTGTTAGACAAGTTAGTATTATTAGAGATCTTGTCTTGTTGGACAAGTTAGGAATAGGGTTTTGGAGTCTTATTTAAAGGGCTCATCATATATTGTTTTAGTCAGTTGATTATGAAAAAAAGAATGAAGTGAGTTTTATCGAGAGAGTATCTCGTTTTACGTGTTTTACGAGAGAGTATCTCGTTTACTCGTTTATCCTTCCCACTCGTACGTTTCCCCTACATCAGTTGGTATCAGCAGTCAGTACGATCGCGATGTCGCCGGTAGTGCTGTTAAATTAAACGAGCCTGGCTCGGCTCGGCTCGAGCTCGGCTCGTTAAGGCTCGGTTCGGCTCGAGCTCGAAGCCTTAACGAGCCGAGCTCGAGCTCATTTAAAGCTCGTTTGGTTAACGAGCCGAGCTCGGCTCGGCTCGATAAGACTCGTTAAGGCTCGAAAAGTAAAATTTATATAATTTTTTATAGTTTGGCTCGTTAAAGCTCGAGATCGGCTCGTTAAGGCTCGAGCTCGAGGCCTTAACGAGCCGAGCTCGAGCTCGATTTTTTACTCGTTTACTTAACGAGCCGAGCTCGGCTCGGCTCGTTAAGAGCTCGAGCTCGAGCTCAAACACCTTAAGCTCGAGCTCGGCTCGGCTCGTTTACAGCCCTAGTCGCCGGGACGAGAAGATGCCGCAAACAAACAACGTGATGCAACCTTCAACGATCGGTTTCAACAAACTGACTATCGATTTGAAGAGGTGGACGTGCGTTTCACGGATTGGTTTGCAGATCTTTCGACGGGGATCGAGGATGTGTGTTTGACGCCGAACAACGTGATTGTTGCGGATTTGCAGATGAACCGTGCCGCCGGCGACCGGGGTGTGCGCGGGGAGTTCACGGAGGAAGTGGAGGTGGTCCAGGCGGGGCGCCCCGTCGACGATCTCCACAATCACCGTCCGGCGATGCAGACGGCGAGGAGACCATCTTGGAGGTGGATCCCTTCGGAGAGTGGCCGCCTCCGCCTGTCGAGACTAAACTCGTTGTTGTACACAACGGCCAACAAGGTGTGGTTTTTGAGGAGAATAACAGACTATTGTACGACGGTCCGCCTATTTTTGATGAGGAGCCACTTGTGGTGTCGATGGAGGACGAGTACCATGTGGTTGTAGAATCATCTATGGGGCCAGAGGTTGTGCCTGGAATGGATGTTTTCAGTGAATTGGAAGATGGATTTTTATGGTCTTTTATTCAACAAGCATATGTGTTTGATAACTCGCATAATATGCCCAAAAAGGACAAAGTGGAGAGTTGCTGCCATAGATTTTCTGCTTGTGAGTATACCAAGTTCATGGCCCGTCAAATTGGCCCGATCGGGATTGTGGAGCAGTTGAAGACTAGATTACTTCGGATTCGAGGGCGAATCCTTTTCGACCGGGGGAGAATGATGGAGATAAGGATGTTTAGAATCTTTAATTGTTATTATTATTATTATTATTATTATTATTATTATTATTATTATTATTATTAGTGGTATTATAGATTTGTTAGGAAACTTATTATTTATCACTTTGTTAGGATTCTTGTCTTGTTAGACAAGTTAGTATTATTGGAGATCTTGTCTTGTTGGACAAGTTAGAAATAAGGTTTTGGAGTCTTATTTAAAGGGCTCATCATATATTGTTTTAGTCAGCTGATTATGAAAAAAAGAATGAATTGATTGTGAGTTTTATCGAGAGAGTATCTCGTTTTACGTGTTTTACGAGAGAGTATCTCGTTTACTCGTTTATCCTTCCCACTCGTACGTTTCCCCTACATCATTTACTTTTCCAGATAACTTCGAACCACATATATGAAATTTACTAGTTCTTGCATAGTGACGTCGAAAGCAATTAAGATTGTTTTGAAGCACGTAAACTAAGTATAACGAAACATGAATATGTTAACCTAATAGAGAATATTGAAAATGGATTCCACGTAAATAAACCCTGAAGAATGATATACCGTATACTACTAGGGCAGCAAACGAGTCGAGCTTTGACTCGAGCACTCGCGAGTTTGACTTAAATCGAGTCAAGCTCGAGCCCATATTTTGCATTGTCGAGCGACTCGATATATATTAAATTACTAAAATACCCCTTATATATATTTAAATAGTACTATAACACAAGTGCTTAATGATAATTTCACTTAAAATTTTTGGGCCGAGCTCAAGCATTTGATTTCGAGCTGAGCCCAAGCTATTGTATTTTCTTATCGAGTCGAGCCTCATAAAGCAGCTAAAAAAAAAAAAAAATTCAGTCCTGCTCGATAAGGCAAGACCAACGCTCGCCTCGGCTCGTTTGCCCTATATACGACACACTATTCATTATTGAGTTGATAACAACGAGAATCGAAATATAAAACAAATATAGAAGCCCATGAGCTGCCATACATTAAAATTATTTTTCATTTCCTCGGAAAAATAAAATTTGACTACTCTCACATTTTATTACAGTTCAACATATCCCATTCAAACCCATCAAATTCCTCATCCAGAAATTGAATAAATATGATATTTCATCTAAAAACGTCCAAATAAAGGTCTCACACTGCAATTCCAACTATAAAATTCAATTCAGTAACTGCTAATATTACATCTACTTCAGTTCTTAAATCGCTCCCTGTGTGTAAAGGGTTTACCTCACTCAGATGCTCGTAAGCCAAATCGTGAAGCCGAATGAATGGAGCTTTACTCGTGCAAACCCCTACAGTTTATCTGCCAGTACAAGAAAAATGAATAAGATTTTGGTATTGAATCGAGTTTTGCTTTGTCAGGTCCCATTTGCATTGAATTCTTGGAATGCAGCTTTTGCAGCCTCGTAAGTTGACCAGCAAATGGCGGCTGCAGGAGCATGAAAGAGCATCCTAGGCATCCATCCTCTTAGAAGACCTCTGTACCCGTCTTTCTTTATTATTGTTCGTATAACATCACGAATTGACCCACTCACGAATCTATCACATCCACAGACACCCTGCAAAAATCCAATCGATGGATAAGGAAATATGAAGTTCGGAAATTTAACTTCAACCGAGAAAAAAAAAAAAAAGTGTCTCCTTTGTAGGGAACCAGAAATCAACCTGCTATTCCTAGTGCAATATATAATATTAACCAATTCAGCAAATGGCAGAATATAAAAATGTAATCGCAGATAAACGAGAAATGGAAAAGAAGATGCTCTAAAAATCCAGGCAGAACCAAGAAGAAAAATGGAAGAAAAAAAGTTCACTGATAAAGATCCTCATGTTGTTTGGCACCCTAAGTTTCAAAGGGCTGTTCATTTATAGTTCTTTGTTAATATTTCTAGAAAGGCTTTCCTAACAAAGAAGCACATACCAATTTAAACCCTAGACTCAAACCAGTGAGGAAATGTTAGCAGAACCGATAAACAATATAGTTCCTAGAGGCTTCTTTAAATAAGTGTCATGAGCAGATACATTCATGTTCGGCATATACATATACTTCCGAAATAAAATAAATAAATAAATAAAATTCCTTAATTTGGTTAAGCAATTACATAGTAAGTTGACTTGTTTCCTCAAATTAATAGTTAACTAATCATGATATTAATCACATAGACATGCACAACAGATGAGCACTTGTGCACATCACACAATCACACACAAACACAAAAACTCCAAACCCACACAAAGATGGGAGAACCCAAACAAGCACAGTCCACCCCACCCCTGGCCCCTTGTCCCACTTTTCTTTGTAATCCAAGTGGTCAAATACAAATTCCAGTTTCCAGTTTTATTTCTGTTGGATTATTTTACACTGGTGGACAGAAAACCCATCTTTATATGTAGACCAATCAATAGCTGCTTCCTCGTTGAACCTATCAAACCAGTCAGTGTGGTCCGATTTAAAAATATGGTCATATATCTCAGCCAGGGCAATAGATAATTACAGCTAGAAACATCCAAATTGAAGCTCAATTATGCTGTCACACTAATAATATTAACTCATCCAATTTAAATGTGAATTGCCAGTCAGTTATATGGCACATGACCACTGGCTGCTTATTATGTAAGATAGCCTATTCATATTTCACTTGTCCTGAAGTTGCACTAGAAAACTATAATTTTTTTATGACTCTTATGGTATGTTTAGGTGACTCCTGGTTTCTATCTCCCACAAATAGAAAACTACAGTTTTTAGAACTCAGCAACATTGTCAGATGGAACAAGAAAGCATACGATCAAGTACCATGTTATCTCTGTCGTTCATCTGCCCATCAACAGATGACAATTAAATATTTATAGTTTACTCAAGTTTCTCTATTTCTTCATTACACACTCTAAGTTTCGATATTGATACAATGATACGTATAATTAATTGCAAATTCAGCAAACACCAGGTCTTTCATCAACTAAATTGAGGAACTTCCAAAGGTAAGTTAACAGATATTCTGTTCAAAATCCTCTTCTCCTAATAGATTTCCACAGAACAAGCATCTCAAAACACAAACCAGAAAAACACACATTGAAACAAGAAGAAAAAGCTGCCCCCTATTCATGAAGCTACAGAATTCCAACATGAATTAGCATCATTCGTTTTTTTTTTTTTTTTTTGCCCAGTCGATGGTTTATGCAGAAATACCAGCTGTAGTGAAGTATGGTGGCCAAGTCACAATATGTATAGACCTATAGCATTCTCATGCAAACTTCAGATGAAGATATCCGAACAAAACTAAAACTTCATATACCAATTAACTCACACAGAGGTCAAGTTAAAGCTCAAAACTACCTGGCACTGCAACTGAGTCTTCACCACATCAAGAGGCGTTGTCAGGGCCGCCGCTAATGCCCCTGCCGCCGCCCCAGCCGTGGCGTGAACCACCAACCTCTCATCGCTAGCACTTTCCGGCGAGACCTCCATCAATCCTCTCTTAGCAGCCTCGTAAGTCGCAAAATGCACAGCTGTGAAAGGCGCATTCATAAGCACAGTCGTCCTATAAGACGCAAAGAAAGCCCGAATACCCTCCTCCCGGGCCACCCTGCGCACACAGTCCCAAACCCCACCGTACGGGCTGCTGCTCAGCTGCAGCCTCTGTTTCACCATATCCATGGGCGTCAAAACAGCATCGCTGGCAATTGTTGCGAAAACCCCCGACATCGCGTGAGCAGCCGGATTGTTGGGGTTCCCACGGGATAATGTCTTCTTGGAGAATTCGTACACGGAGAAGTAAACAGCATGGGCCGGGCCAGCACCAAGCCCCATCGCACCTATCCCGCGGTAGAAGCCTCTGAGGCCGTCGCGCTTGAGAATGGACTGGAGCGCGTGGCTGACGCTCGCGGATTTAATGGGGCAGGAACCCAGGGCCTGCATCTGGGTCTTGACGGTGTCGACGGGGAACATCGCCATGTGCTCCACCATGCCGGCGATCGAGCCGCCGATCATGAACTGCCAGAAGTGGAGCCCGTCGTGGGCCGATGCGGCGGCGGCGGAGGTCTCCAGGTGGTGCTCCGTGTGATGATGCGGGACCGGGATCAGCTCCGGCTTCTGGAATTTCGCGGGGGCGTCGGTGGCCATTGGAGGTGGAAAGGGGTAATGGGTTCGGATGAGGATTTGAGATAAATTGGGGCTGCCGCCATACAAGGACTTAGCAGTGAGGGTTGAGAGTGGTGAGCAGCATTATGTAGAGGCGGTGGCTTGGACGAAAGGTCAAACGAAGGGAAGGTGCTGCTGGTGGATTACTACGGCGGCACGGCGGTGTCCGAACTTGGAATGTTCCAAATTAGGTTATCAAATTTGGGTATTTTTTCTCCAAATCGTAGTGCATATCTATACGCAAAAATGATTTTCCCTAGATATTATACATACGTAAGTGCAAAAGTATGAAATTTAAATTTAATTTGTTTTAATATTTTTTATATATTTAAATTTAATTTTAATTTCAGTATCCAATTTATGCAAATAAAATTTACATTTACATGCATATAAACTTCTTACAATTTTCGCTCATGTACATATCTACAATAATTTGTGAAATATTGTAGTTTATCTACAATAAATTAAACAATTTATTTGTAGTTTATATAAAATTTATTCTGCTAATATACTAAACATAAAAACTATTAATAAACATCAAATAAACATTGAAATCTTCCACAATACAATGAAATCAAACATCCAAACTACAAATACGGAAACATCTTCAACCATACATATGTTAAATATAAACTACAATAAAACTAAAAACTAAGACAACAATCATTATAACATAATCAAACCATCAATAAAAACATCAATTAAGTTCGTTTTCACCTTCGAACCACGAAACAAACGCGCAGCGATGTCGTTGGTGAGGCGACATCCATGGCTGCTCTTCCTGTTTATGAAGCAAATAGCTTGATCCGACAAGTAGGTGGGACCCTTTCAGTTTATGTTATTTGCCACTTGGTGGTCGGGGGATAAGAAAAGTGATGGCGGCGGAGGTTGGCAAATCCACCCACGGTGGTTGGGGGATAGGACAAGAAATCATTTTCTCGTTCTTAATGTTGGTGGCGTGCTTTCTAGTAACTTCTTGAATTTGGATCGAGCCCTTCGTGGGATTGAGAATCTAGCGCGATTGTCTTGATGACTAGAGGGACTTGATGGTGTTGCCCGTCGACTTGTTGATCGCCGTCATCTTTGCCTGGGTAACATCAAGGCGCGAGGAGAGGCAAATGTAATTCATCTCTTGTTGTGCTTGCATATCGAATTCTCGGCATAGATCCGAGCATCATCCATCTCCTTCTCGATCACTAAAACCATGGGCAACTACTTCAACCTGACCATATACAAGATAATCGTTGGAACTCAAGTGGCTGTCGTTCTTGGAAGCGCATCCCCATCCGTGGATGAGGAACATCTTAGTGGGTGGTTTTGGGGCGGCAAGGCGGAGGACGGAGGAGTGGGAGGTGAGGCGAAGTTCATGTTGATCGACTTGAGGTGGCAGTTTAGGGTTAATTTATTAAAAGAGCTTAATTTAGGGTAACTCATCAAATAATGTTAGTATAATTGCAAATTTAAAATTAAAATTAATATATATGTAAACGAAAATGATTGTAGTGGTGGACGGATAATATTCTCAAAATATTTTGTTGCTTTTATATAATTTAATGATCATGATGTTTAGGCCTCATGTATAACAGATCCACTGCATTGCGCCAATTGCGCAGTGGGTTATCTATATATAGCAAATCGGAATGGATAGATCACGTGTACTTTTTTAAAATTTATGCTATAAATATAATATTACGTGAGCATTATTAAAATATTTATTGGGCCTAAAGCACATTGGTTATGTTAAATTAAGTTTAGGTCTATTTTGTAAAGCCTATAAAAGGGACAATACGATGAATGAAATAAAAGACTCCTCTCTATCTCGTTCTCTATAATCTACAGTGTCACATATATATTTTATGCTTGACATGGATTGATAATGTTAAATAAATATTGAGGAATTCCATTTTACCACACGTTATCATCACGTTCCAATTTGTTTTTGGTGTTGCACTAGGAAAAAATCGTAGTTTTCCTCCAAGATATTTTTTTAAATTGTTCGGTAATTTTATTTGCTTCTTTCTGGCGAAATTGTTGAACCTTTTAGGCTACCAATCTTCATTGAGCTCTTCATCCTTTATGTCAAATACCCTTTGCCACAAGCCTATTTCCCTCCTTCATTCTTTTCCCAAATATAATTAAGGTTGTGGGTCTGTGGTTTCATAATTTGAGAGTTTATAGAATTTTTTCTGCTTAGAACTTTAATTGGTGGATATTTAAAAGGTTAGCAACTTGAGCATTAGGATGACTACAAATTTTCCTGTTTGATTGCTTCTTTTGACATGGAACATTTTGTTTCATAATTCATTGGATAATTAGATAACCGTATACCAGACGCATCATTTATTGTCCAATATTTAGTGCTTCATGTCGCCATTAGTTTATTGATATTTGTGAGGAACTATGTGCTATTAAGACTCCATTAAATGCATGATTTTTTATTTATTTATTATTTTTTTTTTTTTGTGTGTGTGTGTGTGCATATTATATATGGGGACCTTTATTGATATGTACATCACATTTTTTTTTTTTTTGGTACAAAAAAGGAGGCAGGAAGCCTAACTATTAAACTAGAACTCGTCGGGAATAAGACACCCCGACAATATCATGTTCAAGCCAATCTCCCACACTAGGGGGAGGAGCAACTAACTCATGAAACCCAACTGGAACGGTAGATGCTAAGCTCGCCAAATGGTCGGCCGCAAAGTTGGCTCTCTGTGCACGTGATATAAACGAATTGTCCACTCCTTCCTAAGCAACTGCCGAACGGCCTGGATTGGCATCATGTGCCCCGGCAGCATTACTGTGACCGAGAATCAGATATGTACATCACATTAACTACAAATATATATCAGTATAATGATAGTATGCATCATTAAAGTGTACGCAATATTATTAGTTATTACTGTCATGGAATTCAGTGTTAATGTGCATTTGAATGGCCAATGAATGCACCATTACATATGCTCTGAACCAGCTAAAATTGGCCTATTCCATGTTTCGAAGCTCTTGATCTTGATCTACAAGTCCAAGATTCTTGTTCGCGATGTACTGGGCACAACAACGTTCTTCTTGCGACATCGGAAGTTGGATAATGTCTATTCGCATGAAGCTAAATTTGACTCTAAATTTGACCTATTTTACCCCCCAAAAGACAAATTATGTGAATTCATGACAAAAATATAAGAGACAATGTTGCACCAGAACACAAACCTTAGGTAGTATTCGCGCCTTTACCAATACGCTTTAATTCCTTCTAAGAAATAGACTAGAGGAATTTACCGCACGCCTAGAATCTTAGCTAACTAAAATTCCATAACCATAAGAAAAAAAGGAACAAAGCAACTGGCGGAAGATGAAAGATAAGGAAAAAGTAGAAGGGTCAGTAGAACCTCTGTCGACTCTTGCCTTCATTAGGAAACTCTCATGAACATCGGTAAGCATGGAATTTTCGCAAGTTATGCTTCATGATCCCAGTTCTAAACCGAGAACTTCCTGAACTTTTAGCTTCAAGAATGGGGGCTACTTGCAGTGTGCTCTTCTCATCTTCTTTCTGCTTTAGGTGCATTAGTGCTTGTGCCTCGACTGCTCATCACATATATCACGATACCGAGGGATCAAAAAAATCAGACCAATTAAGTCGAAAAGTGACGAAAACTAATCTCATTGTAATCATTTTTCCAGAATGGTAACGAAATGCAACAAAACTGTGTTAGATATATGAACTCATACCAGATTGTGAGGAAATTGCAAGCTGAGCAACATCCTTTAATCTCCTGATTTTCTTGATAACATGGCCATCATGAAGTATATCATCCATTTTGGCACGAGCCACACAGTTTGTTCCACAAGACATAATAGCCTTTTCACATGCCTTCAATAAAAAATAGGAAGTCCTGGCATTTATCACTTTTATCATGGCTATAGAACGTCTATGCAAATTACTAATGCAATACCATAGAGAAACAAAGCATAGGTCACTGAAGATATTCAGTAATTGGAACAAATACTCAAGCATGTGCACCAGGAACTTTAGCAACAGATGCAACCTTACACTACATAAGTAATTTTCAGGGCCATCTTCATTTGTCAAAACACAAAGATCGGGAATTCAAATACTAGAAAAAATTACTTGAAGTGGTATGGATTTAAAATCATAGTTTGAACTGAGAAACATAAGGGCTGCTACTTATTCCCAATGCTAGATTCAAACCAGTAAGCTTTAATGACAAAAAGTAAGTATCAGAAGAACACAATGATCTACCAAAAAGTATACAAGTACATGATTATTTTGCATTTTGATATTAGTGTGTGTGTATCCGAATCCAAAGTACGCAGATCTAGAGAATGTACATAAAACTATTTTAATAGAATGCTTTTCTTGCCAAATTATCTTACTAATCATGCGCAGAAACATTATGAAAGATAAGGCAAACCACATTGTTGTACATCTAGCGTAGCTACCCCAACAATATTGTCAAGCATGCAATAAAGCCAACCACAATAGTAACCTATGCCAGCGCCCAAATTAAATATTAAATTTAACATCACAGAGTTGTGTTTTTACATGACGTGCAATGGAATGGAATCCATTTTCAACAGAGCTCTCGACGAAATTGAGCCATTCTTTGGAAGAAACCTGAAGCCCAGGGTGAGTGGTAGCCTTTTCTTTTCGCATAACCAATGCCTCGTATCTCAAGACCAAGCAACTCTGTCAAGAAAACTCAACCACAGAATCCGAAAGCAAGAATTGAGGAAGAGGTCCAAACGTCAACAATCAACAGTAATTCCCCCACCACATATCTAACACCAATCACACAATCTTTCAGGCAGAGAAAAACACGAGTACGGAATGCAAACACATAATTTCTCACTTCAGATTAGACGAAACCAGAAAAAGACGGAGCTCGAAAACAAAAACTAGCATGAAAAGTGATCACATAATTGGCCAGCTGCAACCAGATTAACAGAGAATACTCAAACCAACACATCTACTTTTGAAATCATGATATCAACATACAAAAAAAATGACAGAAACAACAACAAACAGTACCTCGACATCACCAATAACCGCAAACACGCGAACCAGAAAATCGACGCACAAAAGCTTAATCTCGACCGCCTCCATCGCAATTTCTCCAAGAACGATAAGAGATTCATCTCTCATCATCTGTTTCAAGGCCGACTCGACTCCATTCAGAGATCGCGCGTCGCCCGAGGCCAGGATCGATTCCAAAATCCGTAGCGTCACATCGTCAAAACTGACAAAAAAATGAAACAGATTCAAGCGAACAGTGCGATTAAGTTGCCGTCAATGATCCGCCTGACCGGAAAAGTGAAAAAAAAAATACTGAGAACTCTAACCTTCGATTCTGAATTCGCGTGCGAAAGAGGGAAATTTGCTGCGCCATTGAAGCTGATGAGTTTGGCATTTGAGAAAGCGCGGGCGGTTGAAAATTTTGCGGCGGCTTCCTTTTAAACGTCGGTCGTAAAACAAATCGCGCCTGTGCACGAGTTTTAGAACTGTCATAATGTAAATGGGTTGGCCCAATAGGGTGCGAAGTTAAAGCCCGAGCCCAGGACAGTATTAATAGTAGGGACATACAATATTAGGGCTTAATTGTTTATGAAATAATTTATTCAAAATGAGTTATTTTGGTTAATTACATTTAATTTTGAAAAAAATGTATGATTAGTTGTTAGTGAAATTTTAAGAATGTATTAAAATAATATTTAAAATAAAATGATTAAAATTAATTTGATGTAAAAGTAATAGATAAATGATTGGAAATAATTGAAAACGATATGTAGTTAAAATTATGTGAGTAGATGAATAGTGAATTAAAGTTGATGGGATGTGTAAGAATGATTAGTTTTTATTATTTAATTATATAAATAATGTTAAAGATAGTGAGATTGAGTTAAAGTTGAGTTTTTTTTTTTTTTTTTTGCAACATTTGAGTTAAATTTTGAATTGAAATAAAAGTGAGTAAAATAATTTGTAAACAATCAAGCCCTTAATATTATTTTGTTAATTTTTTCCCTCGGTTTATTGATTTTATTTGTGAATCGTTATTTACCCTCACTTATTACTATCTACCGCTCTTCCCCCAATTACTTTTTTGCCCTTTATCTCTTTCTCTTATTCTCTCATTTTTTTTCTCTCTCTTTCGGCCCCCAATTACAAAGTACTTGTGGCGCACGGTTTTTTTTTAGTTATTTAATTATATATATATATATATATATATATTTTAAATGAGTTGTATATATATAATATAATTTTGTATAAATAATTATAAAAAATATAATTATAATATATATATAATAATTATTAAAAAATATAATTAATTAATTATTTATAATTCATAAAATAATTTTAAAATAATATATATATATATATATATATATATATATATATATATATTAGTTGTATTAGTATACATATTAAAAATAAAATTAGTAAATTTAGGTTAAAAAGATTAAAAATAAAATTCACTTCATTTAGGTTAAAAAATATATACCCATGGATATTATGGAAAGAGCAAACGCATGTTGAAGTGTTAAAGTATCACCGTCAATATGTCCATACTCGAGCAGTTAAAAATGGAGTGGCGGTTTTTGTCACTTTTGTCTATGCTAGCCCAACTCCCACAACTCGACATTCATTATGGCCGGAACTACGATACTTAGCTACGAGGATTAATGATCCATGGCTTATCGGAGGGGACTTCAATTGTATCCTCCGGCATACCGAAAGACGAGGTGGAGCTAGCAACCGTATTAACATCAGTGATGACTTCTCTGATTGGCTTTTTGATTGTGACCTTCACGAGGTTCGCACGGATGGTCTTTCATTTACATGGGAGCGAGGAGGTTTGAAGCAGAAGTTAGATCGCTTCATAGCAAACTCGGCTTGGATGAACAAATTTCCGATGGGATTAGTCCAACACCTCCCTCGTACCAACTCGGATCATTTTCCACTACTTGTACGGTGTGAGGAACTTCAAAGGCCGACACAAAGAACAAAGCATTTCAAATTCCTCGCATCATGGCTTTTGCATAAAGGATTCCCCGATCTCGTTCGAAAATCATGGATGGAAGTAATTATTTTGAAGCCGCCCACTCTTTCAAGCAAAGAGCGGTGGAGTGGAATTTTCAAGTGTTCGGTAACATCTTTAACCGCAAAAAGAGGTTGCTTAGGAGAATCGCAGGAGCTCAACGAGAGCTACAAAAATACACTACTCAGCGCCTTATTAACCTCGAAGCTGCCCTATGCCAAGAATTGGAGGAAGTCTCTTTGCAAGAGGAACTACTAATGCTCCAGAAATCTCAAAGGGATTGGACATTCTTCGGAGACAGAAATACGGCTTACTACCACCGCCAAGTGAAACATCGTCGGAACCGTAATAAAATTTTATTTCTTAATAACTCCAACGGAGTTAGAGTCGCTGACCAAACTGGAATGAAGACTATAGCCGTGGACTATTTTCGAGGGATCTATAATGAGGGTACACTGGGCCGGTCAATGGAACTTCCGAACTTATTTCCCCAGCTCGATGCTCGTTTATTCGATCCTATGACACGGGAAGTCAGGGACCCAGAAATTTATTTCGCATTGAGTGCGATGTAACCACTCAAAGCACCAGGTCCAGATGGTCTCCATGCCATGTTCTTTCAACGACAATGGGAGAGCGTCGGGCCGTTAGTCTGCGAATTAATCCGAGGCGTGTTCCGGGATGGAGTAGTGCCCACGGAGTTAAATAAATCTCTTCTTGTGCTCATCCAGAAAGTGGAGAACCCGGAGTCGATTAAGCAATTTCGCCCGATAAGCTTACTCAATGTGGTTTACAAAATCATTACCAAAGTGCTCGTGAATAGAATGAAGCCAGTTCTCCCTTTATTAATAGGCCATGCACAATCGAGCTTTGTCCCGGGGCGTCATATTACGGACAATATTGTGGTATCCCAAGAGCTTATTCATTCTATGCGTACCAAAACTGGCCGACGGGGGTTTATGGTGATAAAAGTGGACTAGGAAAAAGCTTACGATTTTATGAGGTGGGAATTTATCGAAGACTCATTACGAACAGCCGGCTTCCCGGCCAAGATGGTGCGCACCATTATGGCATGTGTTACAACAGCCTCCATGCAACTCCAATTTAATGGAGAGGTGAGTGATGCATTTTTTCCTTCTCGGGGTGTGCGTCAGGGGGACCCCATGTCGCCGTATTTATTTGTCATTTGCATCGAACGACTAGCTCACCTGGTTCAATCACGAGTTGGCGATGGCTCATGGAGACCGATCCACGTGGGTAATGGGGAGGTCTAAGTTCCTTACTTGATGTTCGCCGACGACTTGTTGCTATTCCTTGAAGCTACAGATGATCAAGGGCTATTAGTCAAGCATGTGCTGGAGGAATTTAGTGCCCAGTCCGGAATAAAAGTAAGTCAGATAAAGACAAATGTGTTCTTCTCGAAAAATATCTCTCGAGAGCGGCAACAACAATTGGCGAACTTAATGAACTTCACTGTTGTTGAATGTCTCAGTAAGTACCTTGGCGTTCCTCTCATACACCGCCGAGTGACTAACCAGACATATGAGAATATTGTCGCACAGGCGGACAAACGGTTGGCAGGCTGGAAGGCCCGATCTTTGTCATTGGCAGGAAGATGTGTTTTGGCACAATCAGTCGTGAGCACATTGTCGTACTATACCATGCAAACAGCAAGTATTCCCATGTCAGTTTGCGAGAGTTTGGAGAAACGGTGTCGCACGTTTTTATGGGGAGGTAGCAGCACACAACGGAAAATACCCTTTGTGTCCTGGGCGAATGTTTGTCAGAGCAAAGAATTAGGAGGCTTGGGTTTGAAGCGACAAAAAGAGATGAACACTGCTCTGTTAATGAAGCTGAGCTGGAATTTTTTGACAAAGCCAAGTACCTTGTGGGTCCGACTAATTAAAGCTAAATACAAACTCAACCCAACAGTAATGGGGGAGGATTTTTTATTTCCCAAGGGATCCACGATTTTGAGGGCTATTGGCAGAGGGTGGTCGGCGATGATGAAAGGGGTTCGTTGAACGCTTGGCAATGACAATAAAGCTAGGTTCTGGAAGGACAAATAGTGTCATATTTCGACGCCGCTACACTTGCTTGCGACGGGACCAATCCCGAAGGACCAATGGGAGTTGTCGGTGGCTAGGTTTGTGACCGATGGTGGCGCGTGGGATTGGAGCTCATTCGCGAGACTGTTACCGGCTGGGGTGCTGCTGAGAATCGCCTCGATATCACCTCCAAATGACCTCAACGGAGAAGACTCAATCTATTGGGGACTCTCAGATAATGGGTGTTTCACAACAAAATCGGCGTATACCTCGCTTTTCCAGCCTCAGCCGGAGACTAACCGAGTCTTATGGAAGTCAATTTGGCATTGGGTTGGCCCTCAACGGGTGCGACAATTTTTTTGGCTTGCGGCGAGGGATAGGTTGTTGACAAACATGGAGAGAAATCGTCGTCATTTAGCGAGTTCCCCATGCTGCATGTTGTGCGGACGGGATGAAGAATCTGTCCTCCATGCCTTACGCGATTGTGATAAAGCTGAACAGGTTTAGAAACATATATTACCGACTCAATTTCATGGTAGTTTTTTCAACTTGAACTTGCATGAGTGGCTGGTGCACAACTTAAGCAACAAGCTGCGGATGGCCTGTGGCTTGGAGGATTCATCATGAACATCGGATATACTACCATTACGGGCGCCGATCTATGGGGTTTATTCCAAGGACTCCATCTAGCGTGGGATTTGGGGTGCCGGAACATTGTCGCGGAAGTGGATAATCAAAGTGTAGTCCAAATGGTCACGGGGACCTCATCCGAGAACTCGGGGTGCATGGAGCTTTAGTGAGAGCTATTCGGGAGATGATGCACCGAGACTGGACAGTGCACATCGGGCACTGTTATCGAGAAGCTAATTTCGCTGCGGATTGTTTGGCGACGCTGGCCCATTTATGCCCTAGTGGTTGTCAGCGACTACCCGATCCACCGATAGAAGTCAAATCGTGGCTAACACATGACGTCTTTGGCGTTGCGTATCCACGGAACACGACTATCTAGAGGTGCTAGGCTACGGCCTCCTTCCTTTGTACCAAAAAAAAATATATATATACCCAAGAGCGCTTGGATGAGATGGCTTGGGTCTCTTCCAGCTTAACCAGTGGTCTCGTGTTCGAGCCCTGGGAATGCAGCAGTGTTAAAACTCTTGAGGGAGAGCTTTGCCGCCCTTGTGGTCCTACCCGGCTCGATTCCAGATTAGTCGGTTCCCCTGTGGATCTGGAAACCGGAAGGTCCCTGTACCAAAAAAAAATATATATATATATATATTAAAAATATAATTCACATAATCTTTTAATTTAAGTTAATTTATAGTATAATAA